TTAAAGGAGAAAAAAACCCATTTCAGAAAAAAATGAATCAGGACAATTGTGACATGGAAAATATAACTGAAACTGTTTAAGAGAGCCATCCATTTTAAAGAGAAAAGTGCACATATTAGACAGGTGGCTGTCCTGCACAATGTCAAGTGTCATTATAAAATACAAAAAATACAATGAGGGATGGAAATAGGAACTGGCCGTTTGTGTGGATGATTGTCTTGAACAGGTTGACTGTAATAATAATTATGATAATAATAATGATAATACCACTGCTGCTACTACTAATGGTATCATTTTTTTCTATTAGAAAAAAATATTACAATAAAAATAGACTGAATTTATAACCCCCCCCCCCCCCCCCACAAGTACAAACAAATAAACGCACATATATACAATCATTCATATTCACTAATCCAAAATGAACAAATCATGAACTCACTTTCAATGCATAGAGTTCTGCCCTCAACTTGTCCATGTCCCCAGACAGCTCAGGTGACTCGTCAAAGTCTTTGGAATCCTGAGGAAAAAAAACAAAACATTGTGAGATATGCTGAGAAAAAGACTTACTTCTCGCAAACTGCAAATGAAATTATTAGCTGAAAATCAACGCTAAGATCAAACTGGAAGATCATCAACTGATGCCATTTTCTTCCTTATAAATATGTCTTTTAAAATGTCATTCTAATTTGACGTATCTACTTCCACAGGGTTAAAATCTGAGAAGTACTCATTTTGTCAGCACGCCTCACATTTTACATTCTATTCACAGATCAGGCAAACGAGTATTGACATTGTAGTACACACATACACATATGCAATTTGCACTCCCTCCTAACACATACACTAAAACGTGACATCCGCCAAAATTGGCCAGGAATGAACAAAAATAACTCTCAAAAGAAGTATTAGAACCACAATAGATCATCTATCAACCATCCTCTACAAAATGAAGGCAGCTCCACTAACAACAACAACAACAAAACTTGATGTCATAATATCAGTGTTTGTCATTTAAAGCTTATTCTTGTATGGGGATAAAGCGCTATACAAATGCAGTTTATTATCATTGTTCGGGGTGTTCGTTAACTCCAAATTTCACAGTTATACAGACAACATGCACTGTCCATGATGTGCCGTACCCTGGGTGTGTGTTGAGCCTGCTGCGTCGTCTGCTGGTGGATGAACTTCTGCTGGTCGTCATTGATCTGTTCTTGCAGCAGACGCGCGTTGTTAGCGTGTGTCACCTGACGCTGGAGCTCCTCCCTCTCCTCCTCCAGCTGAGAAAGTGTGTTTAGTAAGAGTTTTACGGTCTTTGCAACACAATAAGGTCATATAAGTGCTGAAGATTAGAGGTGTTACAAGAGAGTTACAAACAGAAAAAAGAAGTAAGAGAGTTAAGGACAATAGATCTTTGATAGGAAAGAAGGAGTAAGCCATACCAGAGAACCCGCCAGTTACACACAAGAAATTGTGGACTTACTGAGTTACAGCAAAAATTGAGTGAACCTATTCCAAAATGCATTTGTTTTAGTAAAGAGAATTACATCTACACATTAAAGGTCATTTGGTGAAAGGACAAAGTAAGACAGACAGTCAGACAACAATAGAGCGAAAGAAAAGAAGTAGTGCTCCCCAGATGTGTGATTAATGACCTGCTTTAGAATAAATCATTTCTGCTGATCAAAGCTATTTAACAACACACTTGGACAAAGGAATGAAACTGTGCTTTATAAAATGGAAGGACTTTGAACAACTAGTAGATAAAGTTGTTAAGTTGTAGTTCAGGGCACATGGACTTCACAATGGTCACATTTCACAAGTTAAACTTTGAATTCAACAGAAAACAAATTCTCACAGTGCAGCATCTTCGACTTTGAGCAAAAAAAAGGTGGACTGTGAATATGAAACAATTAGAAAATAAAACAAGGAAGACAGAGAGAAACAAAAGAGGAAAAGGAATGAAGAAAGAGCTGCAGGTGGTAACCTCTAAACGCTAATATTAACAGAAGTAGCTCATGATGCAGAAAGACTCAAACACATCACATGACACAACATAAAGTTAAAAGGCACCAGTGCAAGGGCTACTAGATCAACATCACTATAAACAACAAAAAGAACAAAAAGAACAACCACAGCAATTATACCAATGACAATAGAAGTGACAACAAAAACAATAGCACTAGCAACAACAACAAAGACAACATAAGGATTCTCCTGAAAAGACCATTAAAAAAACAAACCAAGACAATTATTCAATAACCAAAATGAAAGATCACCCACCTCCTTTATGGTGTTGGCGCTGGACCTCATCTCTATCTGCAAGTTTCTCATGGTCAACTCTGCCCTCTGCTTTGCCTCCAGCTCACTGAAAGCGACAGGCACCATTCATGCATTTTCATTCTCTTATAGACGCTGTTTTTTAAATTCATTTTATTATAGGTAATATGTATTATACATTTTATTATATCTGCATGACACAGATGCGCTATTTGAATTGAAAGGTGGAGCACTTGACCCACTTAGAAAAGTAGAGTAGAAAGAAATGTTGTCTTCCCCTCCACAGGTAGATGACATGCACTCCCTACTGGCATGCAGGGGTCCATTTGTCCATCACCCATCCACTGATGATCTCTCTCAATAAAGTTTACACAATTTAACTTCAATTGAAAATAAGATAGACAGCTTAACACATCACAGTAGGCAAAGGCAAAATTGTCTATAAAGTCACTAAAAACTCACACTTCAAAAAAGGTTAAAAAGGACATTTAAATAACTCTTCACGCTTTTGAATCATTATCTCTTTTGAACAACAAAGTGGAAGACTAACGATAGTCTTCCTTTTCTTTTAATATATACATTTTGAGCAAATATTAAGTCTTTAAGAACTTACTGGACATAATATTTGTCCGATCGGCAGCATATCAATGACAGTGTTACGGCACATTTAAAACCGTCATACACAAATCAGAAACACTGAATTAGCATATTTCACAGTAATGCTGTTGCAGCCTTTTTTCAATTTCAGATTTTTTTAAAATTTGAATTCAAAACCAAAATTTTTTTTTGAAGTGCTCCCAAAACAGCATGACTTATAGAGACGTCGAATGACCAGAATATTTCCTCAATACTATTATTAAAATATAGAGAGGATGACAAATAACTCTATGGTGCCGGTCAAATAGATACTTTTATACTGCATCAATGGTTAAAGTCTATTCTTGCTGAATTTGTCCCATATGAGCGTACACAAGTTTCACATTATGAAGAGCCTACCTGGCGTACTGCTCTTCTCTTCTGGCAAGCTGATCTTTTGTCTTGCTCAATAAAATTTCTGCATTCTTTCGCTTCTCTTCCTCTTCAGTCATTCCATATCTGTGACAAAAGGAAGAAACATTCTCAAAATTTCTCTCTTAATGTGCCAGCAAAACATAAACAAAAAAGCAGTATGGTACGGTATGGCTTGAGTTTCCTGCCCTTTCAACACTGCAAAGTTATTTGTGCTGTGCCACCTCTGATCTCTTACCCGCCTCCGATAGGACTTTAGTAAGAGGGTGGAAAGCCTTGCAAACTTTCCAAATAAACCAAAGTGAAGAATACCCTTTTAAGAATTTTAACTAGGGTCATCTGCACTTAAACCAAACTGTAATGCAAGGGACTTAACGGAGCACCCACAAAGAAGCAGTGGATAGTATCAACCTCATTAACGTGTAGAAGTTCAGGAAAGGGAAAACAATCATTCAACATGAAAAATAAACAGTATTTCAAATAATATTAGCAATATCTATGATAATAAATAAATCAAATACACAGCACAAATTCTCTTGCAGAAGGAAGAAGGACCTCTGAATTTGATCCTTGTCTTTGACATAACTGATCCAAGTGGGTGAACAAGTCTTCATATAAACTCTCCATATAACCAAAATTCACAAATATCTTGTTAGGGATTCAAACCAAAATCAACGAAAATGCAGGCCAGTACGATTCCAACTGAGCCAATGATGTACTCGGGCAACATAAATAAATCAGAAAAGAAAAGAGAGAAGACAGCACGACTCACTCCAGGGATCTAATCTTAGCTTCCAGGTCAAGCTTGGACTGTTCCAGTTCGGACTTGTGCTGGGTCAGCGAGTCCAGTTTCCTGTGGATAAATAATAATAAAAATAATAATAATAATAACAACAACAAGAAAAAGAAGAAGAATAGAAGAAGAAAAATAATAATAATAACAAAATTAATAATAATAACAATAATAACAATAATGACTGCATTTATATAGCGCATATCCAACGCTCTAAAGCATGCTCTATGCGTTTTACAACTATTATTACCTAAGCAGATCCTAATACACCACTCAGAAACTTTTTCTACTTCACAGGAAGCATACTAATTACAGAAAGCTATAGTAAGACATGTTATGGGGAAGATCTGAGACACCGCACATGGGGCTGTCCTAACCTAAGTAAAAGAAGGGAAAAAAGGGAATAAAAGTGCCACCAAATGATTAAAAACTTGTTAGTAAAGAATCAAGAGGAATAGCGACTCAAATTACAGCCGACTGAATCACCCCTGATACAACATAATGAAACTTATGGCCAATTTAATCAGTCATTGACATTTGAAAGGTTAACACTGTCAGATACTACTGGTCACTCACTTGGAGAGCTCGGCCTTCTCTTTGCTGGACAGTTTGAGCTTGTTGTCCAGCACAGCCCGCTGGTTCCTTTCCTGCTCCAGCTGCCGGCGCGTGTCACGCACATACTCTTGCACCTTCAGCAGGGAACTCGGATCTGACAGACATAATACAGCATAAAGTATAGTAAGTGTATGGGTTTAACACCCTATCAACACTATTAGGTTATTTAAGAGGAGGGACCTCAGAATTTAACATCCTTCCCCAATAAGACAGAACCAAATGGGTTGAGAGCCTTGAAAACTCCAGTAAATACCCTGAGTTCAAGAACGCCTATCCTTGGATTTGAACCAGGGCTATCCTCTCCGAGGTCCGGCATGATACCAACTAAGCTAACAGAATGCCCACAGTATAAAGAATATCAATAACAAAAAGTAAATCTAAAAAACCAAATTACAGTCAAATCTGTCCAATGTGACCATTCGTTGTCAAGGAGAAAAAGGGTTATCTTAGACAGGTGGTCCTCTTTGATAGCATCATTATGATTTAGAAAAAATGCCAGGGGGAAAGTGGGAAATGGTTGTTCGTACAGATGATTGTCTTGGACGGGTGGTAATTAGAGTAGTTTCAACTTTTATTAATAAAATAAAACAAAACGATATCCCCATAAGAAAAGAAAAGAAATATTATCAAAGAGTAAAAAACATAAGGCAATAAACTTGCTCGTGACTCATCATAAAGCAAGTGTTGGTACTATAGGACTTGAAGGCTTTCACGTCCATAAACACTTGACATTCTCACAGAAATTCACTAGTAGTCGATGCCATGACACAAAACAACCCAGCATGTGAGAGTGATTGAAAAAGCAAGTCTGGTACGGATTTAAAACTCTGATCTTCCTGTAAGGCCTTGAATTGTAAAAAAAATATACGTGCAATCTAAAGCTCATGTCCATTCTGACTGCTATTCAGGTTATTTTTCTATTTTTCATCAGTCTGCACTATCATTTTTCTTTTCTTTCCCCCATTACATGGACCACGGCGCACCGGCAGTGGAATTTTAGTTGCCGCTGGGGGTTATCACGTCGGGGTCACGGGGGTCAGCTCCCTGTCGCCTCTCTGTCTGGGCCGACTTAATTTTTGGTACTTTTCAACGTACAATTTAAGGTGTATCCTTGTATTTATGGTAATTCTCATTTAGTGCACCCAAAGCACGCATTTCTGCTCTTGAGACTCAAAAAAGAACGGACGTTGTAATTTGTCT